GAGCCAATACAAATTTTTAATAAAGTTTATCTGTTAATTCTACTATCAATAAGTGATCAAAGTACCATTGTAGTGTACAAGTTTTTATTTTATTTATGTTTTCAGAGACAGGGGTTTTTCTCTGTCACCCAGGGTGGAATGTAGTGATGTAATCACAGCTCATGGCAGCTTCTGAAATCCTGGGCTCAAGTGATCTTCCTGGTTCAGCCTTCTGAGTGGCCAGGACTACAGGTGGGGCCACCACACCTAGCTAATTTTTCTTATTTTTTGTAGAGATGGGCTCTCACTGTGTTGTCAAGGCTGGTCTCAAACTCCTGGGCTCCAGTGATCCTCCTGCTTCAGCCTCCCAAAGTTATGGGATTACAGTGTGAGCTACTGTGCCCAGCCTAGTGTGTCACTTTTTTTTGAGACAGTCTCCCTTTGTCACCCTTGGTACGAGTGTGGTGGTGTCATAGCTCACAGCAACCTCAAACTCTTGAGCCTAAGTAGCTGGGACTACAAGTGCCCACCACAACACCAGCTATTTTTAGAGACAGGTCTCACTATGGCTCAGGCTAGTCTCAAACCAGTGAGCTACCTGCCTTGGCCTCCCAGAATGGTAGGATAACAGGCATGAGCTACAGCACCCAGACCAAGTGTGCCACTTTTTTTTTTTTTTTATAGACAGAGTCTCTCACTTTGTCACCCTTGGTAGAGTGCTATGGCATCACAGCTCACAGCAACCTCCAACACTTGGGCTTAAGTGATTCTCTTGGCTCAGCCTCCTGAGTAGCTGAGACTACAGGTGCCCGCCACAACACTGAGCTATTTTTTTGTTGCAGTTTGGTCCAGCCTGGGTTTGAACCCACCACCCTCGGTATATGGGGCCGGCACCCTACACACTGAGCCACAGGCACTGCCCATCCAACTGGGCCACTTTTAAAGGGTATGTATTACGACTCCTTCCAAAGACTCTTTAGAACATTTGATTTCTGGCTCTGTGCCTGTGGCTCAAGCGGCTAAGGCGCCAGCCACAAACAACTAAGGTGGCGGGTTCGAATCCCCAGCCTGGGTCCACCAAACAACAATGATGGCTGCAACCAAAAAATGGCCCGGCGTTGTGGCGGGCGCCTGT